GTCTGTGCCACCCAGTGTGCCACCACCTGTGCCCCACAATGTGTGGACGTCTGTGCCACCCAGTGCCCCGAGCCCTGTGCCACCAAGTGCGTGGAGCAGTGCCAGACCGAGGTTTGCAGCACCAAGTGCGTGGAGTCGTGCGAGGCCGTGTGCCTGGAGCCCTGCTCCCGCCCCTGCTGAGCCCTGACCACCGGTGAGGAGCCAAAACCGCGGGTTTTGGATGGAAAACACGGTGCAGACCCATTGGCGACGCAAATTCCTCCTCTGATCATCCCATGTTGTCTTCATTTCGGAAAACGTTTCCTGTCTGAGTGTTCCCTGTGTTTTCACTCCTGCTCCTGCCGTGCCGGCGTTTTTCCGTGCGTATTCCCGATATTTTAGCGTTGGGAATCCCGGGAAGCGCTGTCAGCAGCTGGCAGTGGAAGATGTCAACGCTTTTCCCCTTCCCTTCTCCTCTTGTTTCTTCTCAGTCTTGTGAATTCTCTGTGCAGCAATAAAAAATGACCATCGATGGCACCAGCTGTCCTTTGTCTTTTTTCTCCCCGTTTCCACGACTTCGGGCCCCCAAAATATCTTCCTTAATTTCAGTTTTCAAAAGTGGTTGGGGAGGGCTTTGTGCCTGAAGTAAAAAAAACGTTTAAATATGGAGAAATTCCTACTAATTCAACAAGGAAATCATCGTCTGGCCAATTCCTTTCTGAAATTATATTATATATTATATTCTGATAGGAATTTGATTTTCAGACAGTTTTGGTCTTCACAGCTTGGGATTTTGGAGGCAAATCCTAGAAACCGTTAAAAGGCGAATTTAAGTGGAAGAAAGCCTTAAATTAATTAATAAAGGAATTGAACACCTGGAAGGCGCAATTTTAAATAAATTTAAATAATTAAATTTTAATAGTCAAACAAATAAATATTTAAACAAACGAGTAAATTCTAAGTCATTTTAATAATTCAAAATAATTTTAATAAAGGCTCCTCCACCTTTATTCTGGATAAGTTTGAAGCTGAAGGTGACCCTGTGGTCACCTGGAGGGCGTTAAACCCATAAAAGGCGTTAACTGGGGGGAGTTAAACCCATAAAAAACCCCAAATTTCGGAGATAAAGCTCCCACTGTGTCCCAGATTGTGCCTGTGGCTTTCTTCACCTCCGGCTCTGTCTGGGAATGCTGAAATCGCTCCCCACCTACCCCCTCATTACGGGAAGGGTGGGGAACACCTAATCTGGAGAAGAAAAGAGAGATATTTATATTCGGGGGCGTGCCGGCGCTGTTTCCAAATCTCCTTTTTAATGTGCGGGTGGGGAGGCGAGGAGCAGGTTCCTCTTTGTGTCCCTCGCTGTCGACACCGGGAGGTGACACCGGGAGGTGACACCAGGAGGTGACAGCAGGAGGTGACACCCTCAGGTGGGGATCACAGGAGGCACAAAAAAACCACACCTGGGGAAGGCAAACACCTGAGCACACCTGGAAGGCAAAGCAGGAGCAAAAATTCCCCCCAAAAAAA